GGGAGGCTGAGAAGATTCTAATCTAATCTCTTGCTCTCAGAGTTTAAAATTATAGCTCAGGTGACAAGGTGTAAATACAAAAAAAAAAAAAAAAAAAAAGCCAAACAGAAAAATAATAAAGGTTAAAATTGAAGTTAATAGGAACCAGGGAACTCCTATTTGTCAGGGAGGTTATTTCCAGATGGTGCCCTGAGAATTTTCTCCACCCTCAATCCAGCTTGGTTTGCGTTTGCTGTTCCATTCTATGTCTGAAGGATCCAACTAAGTGAAGGGGCGCTTTTCTTAGTTTAGTTCATGTTATCAACGCCTTTAGTTCCAATCACATTTAATCTCTCCCGTTTATTTCTTCTTTTGTTATTTAATCCCTGACTGCAGGGATTCAGTTTGTATGAAAGATCTGCCACAAAAGAAAGTCAGCCATGTGGTGCTTGGGCACCGGTATTTGCCAAACATGGGTTTCCAGCCTCTCTTCATATTATTATATACTACGAGGATGAGTCACGCCTGAAAAACGTAGCGATTTTGAATGGCAATTGTCCTCTACTGAAAATCTAGCTTAAGAATTGGCTCACATGCTCTAGTTTAGCAAAGGCCAAACATGCCATTAATGTGCCAACATCTTGTTTCTGTTGTCACAGACAGGCAGCACAGCTTCCCTGCAGACAGGGGGCCAGAACCTAGAGATTCTGGATATTCCCTGAGAGAACAGCAAAGGGTGTGGGTAGAAAGGGGAAGAAAAATCCTTCTAGTAAGTAGCATGGAAAGCATGAGGCATTGATTCCCTCTCCTGCAACTCTAAATCAATTCTCTACTCTGGGAGGGGGCTAAGGGAATTAGAAGGGATCCTGGATCACCCCAAATCCCTATATTTGGGCTTAGAATCCAGTTGCTATGGACTCGAGAGGCTGAACTGGCCCAAAGCTCACGCACAGGGGCAATTAGCTCCAAGCTCCTTTTTCATGGGACTTTGCCAACATGATGTCACAACACCAGAACCATCAGATGGCGGAGTTTCTAGACGTGAGAAGAGGGGGATAGAATGGGGGGCCAGACCAGCAGGCTCTGGTTGCAGAAGACTATTAAAAAGGTGAGATTTAAAGTAGAGTTAACCCAAACTCATTGCTATCGAATCAATTCAGACTCATAGGTACCCTATAGAACTAACTATCCCATAGAGTTTCCAAGGAGCAGCTGGTGGATTCGAACTGCTGACCTTTTAGTTAGCAGCTGAACACTTAACCACTGCATTAAATTGCTGTTTCCTAACTCTACTGCCTCTGAGTAAAACTGCTCTGGTCCGTGTCCGTGTTCCTCCCACAGATGGTCCTCCCACAGATGAGATGATCCTCCCACAGGGAATCCTCCCACAGATGGTCCTCGGTGCTCCTGATCACTAGAAGGAAACAGTGCAAATGTGTGGAAGGGATCAGGGTTACTGGAAGAACTTTTCCTAAAATAAGGGTGGCACAGAAGTCACCCTGTGAACATCTGCGGGGCCTTCACTTTGTTGTCTGCTGCAGGAGCACTGATTTGCAGAGTTATTTGCAGTTATGAACATGTAGGATTTAATAAATGAATAATCTCTATGAATACAAACAAAAGCTCCCATCCTGAGAAAGGGGTAGGTTCTTGGTTACACCCCTCAGTCAAAATGATGGGTATTACAGTAACATTAAACAGATGTAGAATTTTTTTTTTTTTTTTAAATGCGGGCTGGTCTCCTGACTTTTCATTTGATTGAAAAGGACTGATTTACTGCTGAGAAAACCTCTTTTCAGAGGAAAGCTTTGTGTGAGTTCCATTAATTCCCTTGCACCATGGCCACAAGGAAGATGGGATCATCAGTGTTGCCAACTTATCCTATGTGATTTAGATATGTTTAAACCCCAAAGTGCCTTTGTCACATGGGTTGTCTAAACTCTACTGTACTGGAGTTAAGTGAGCCGTGTATTAGAAGGCTTGGAAAGACCACTGCATCCTTATCCCGGTCCATCTCATCTCATCCCCTATTGGAAACAGACCTAAGCCCAAGGCTACAATCCAGAACCGGGAACCATGCCAATTCTAGAATAAGAAAGATGGAGTTTTATGTTCTCTCTAAGCCAGTGTCCTTAAGCTTTAATGTGCAAAAAGAATCACCTGGCAATTTGTCTAACCTGTCAAGTTTTGGGGACTCTACCGCAGAGGTTCTGGATCTGAAGGTCTCTGGACACTGTCTAAATCAGTGATTCTCAACCCTGACTGCATGTTAGAATCAGCTCTCAAACAAAAGGATGCTCAGGCCCCACATCAGACCAATTAAATTAGACTATCTGGGGAGGGGACCTGTGCTTTTGTAGTTCTGAAAAGCTCCAGGGGTAATTTTAATATGAAGCCAGGGTTATGAATTGCTGGCTTAAGCCAAGAAGCTTCAGGTATAGATACAGCTGAGAGTTCTTTGGAAGCCTTTATTGGATGAGGCAGCTGTCATGTAGCTTGACATGCTTATCTTCAGACAGTCTAACTCCAATCAGACTGATTATATTAGAAATACATGGCTTACAACATGGACAAGCATTAGAAGGTTTGTGAACCCCGGGATTCGTAGTCTACAGTTTGTGTGTTGTTGTTGTTATTAGGTGCTGTCAAGTCAGTTTCGACTCATAGAGACCCTACAGGACAAAGTAGAACTTCCCCATAGGGTTTCCAAGGAGTGGCTGGTGGATTTGAACTGCCAATCTTTTGGTTAGCAGCCGAGCCCTTCATCACTATGCCACCAGGGCTCCAAAATTTGTGCGGATAAGCATATGTCCATTTTTCTAGGGAGAGAGTCCTCAGCTTTCATTAGATTCACTTTTTCTACCCTATTCTCTTGTTTTTTTTCTTTCATTCATTCATTCATTCCTTTCAATCCTACGTCCTGCTTCTTATTCTTCTCCCGCACATAGATAACTGTTCCTTTGTGTTGAAGTGTATCTTTTTGTTTGGATATATTCCTATAAATTTGATTGTTTTGTGTGCATGTATTTATAATTTACATAAATCCTATGTTCTTACTCAGTGCCATGCTGTTAAGATCTATCCTTGTTGGTACGTATGCATCTAATCCATTGCTTCCACCTGCTGCCTCTACTCCATGGAGGGTGTGCCTAATATGTTACCTATCTACTTCCCCAGCAATGGGCACCAGAATGTTTCCAACTCTCCTAGGCTGCAAGCAGTGCTGCTGTGAACATCCTTATCTTGTGAAACTGTGTGGGAATTTCAGAACTGGAATTGCTGGGCAACGGGGGGTGTATAGACTTCTTTTGACTAAGAAAGGCTAGACTGGTCTCCAGACCAGCAGTTCTGGCTACACGCCCATGACCTTCACTGGATTCCTCAAGTGGTCTCTGATCTTTAAACCCCACCCAAGTATAAAAGCCATTGGTTAGTAGTCAAAGCTGGGCCCTCAATGCTGCTTGCCTTTCCTTTTTCTTTTTCCTATTTTCTTTCCTGTTCCCTCTGGCAGCTGTATTAAGCCTTCATCACTATCTTCAGGTCTGTCATTCTACCTCATCTTCTTTTTCACAGAAAAAGTAGAGGTCATGTTTAATTTTCTCCTTGCACTTCTAAACTTCCAATGCCAGCCCCATTTTGATTCTTTTGCTATTCAGGCTTCTTTCCAGGGCTAACCTTCTCCTGAGCTTTTGACTCCACACCTTCCTGTCTCCCTGAAACCTTGCTGCGCCAACCTTTGCCCTTGTTTCTTCACCTCTCCATTGCCATGGCCTTGCTTCTGTGGCTTACAATCGTGACCAGTTCTCTCCCATGCTGAAAGAATCTTCCCTTTTCCTCAAGCCACCCCCTTTTTAAAAAATGTTTTTTGTCTATCACAGACTTTATCAATGTGTTGTCTGCTCTTGTTCTCTGCTTCCTCCATTCCTTCTCACTTCTTCCTTCAACCCTGCCACTCCGCCCAGTGGTCTTTCAGTTGCCATATCTGTGTGCACTTTCCAGCTCCCATCCTGCTTCCCTCTCCCTGGCACTCGACAACGGTGACAACATACCTCTTCCTGGAGCTGTGTGCTGGTTCTCCTGGTTGTCCCCCTTCTGCTTTCACTGCTCCATCTCAGGCTCCGCCATGGCTCCCTTTTCCTCTACCTTTCCTTCATGGTTTTTACCCCTAAGGTTTTACCCTCTAGGCCCTTGCACTTACATGTGTTTTCCTGAGAGAGCTGGTCTACTTCTTTGGCTTCCTTGAATCACCATTTATAAACATATGGCTCTCACACCTGGCTTTCACTTTAATTCAACGACTAGTTTTTGAAAAGGTACTGTGTGCTAAGATTCAGAGTCGCATGTGACATACGAGAGTTCATAGTCTAGAACCCTCTCTTCTGAGCTCTAGACTCACATACCTGGCACTCTCTCTGTTTGCTACAGTTTGAGGATATACATCTAATTCACAGATAAACTGATACAAATTATATACTCTATGTTTTTTCTAAAGGAGTCCAGAACACAGCCTTGCTTGAGAACATGCCAACCGACAATCCTGCCTGCTCTGCTTTTGGCCTGGAGAACACATCACAGGCCTCTGGGTCACGGGATGTGCATATGTTTCCTGTGACTAAGAAGTGCAGGACTGCTCTCCAGATCAGCTGGAGGGCCAGGAGTTCTACAAACATAATTTGGTCCGTAGATTTTTTCCCCATGCCTTTGGAATCATAAGATATCAATAGAGTCATAGGCTGATGAGAATCAATGGATGATGTAAGAATTGTATATAAAAGTAATGCAGTCAGTGATGGATCTTGGCCTGAAATGTTGCTTAACCTGCTAATACTGGGATGACAAGGCTTGCACAAATGAAAGAGATTTGTACCAGGCTGGACATAATTAAATGTGAAACTGAATAAATGTCTTGCGTTTCTTTGAAAAGTTAGGTTGTGCAGATAAGGAAGAACAGAATAGCAAATTTCCTCTGGGCTGGCCTGGCTGTGCCTTGGAGGACCCGCTACTCTTGGAGCCAGCCTTACCTCTGTTTCAGAATCTGTTTGTTGTCTTCGATGGTAATGCTGTCAGCATGGTCCCTCTTGAAGATTTCAAAAGCCTCCTGGCGTCCTAATGACATTTCCTCTCTCATCCCTGTGTGGAAACACAGCGAAATGGCCTCAGTCACAGCATCAGGATCTTATTAATTTCATTGTCACTTTAGTCAGACCACAAAGCCAGCCCTGGCTCCAAGAGGCCCACAGCAGAGAGGCTCCTGACCAGACAAGTGGCCCCAGGCTCTTCCAGCTGGCTGCCGACCCACTGGGAGGCCCTTCCAGGGACAGTCGCTGCACCCTGTAGGGCTGTGCCGGCACATCCATGTGACTTGTGGGGGATGGGTTTGGAATGTCTGGTTGGAGGAAATGAAAACCAGCGCACCAAGTCCTGGATTGCTGAGGACATCTGCAAATGCACTTTCTGCTATCATCTACTGCCACATTTCTCCCAGTTTTCCTGTCATGCCCCATCTTGGTTTTCTGTTAAATTTCACCCTACATTGCCAGGCCTTTAGTTAAAAGCAGTATAATCTGGACTGAGAGATTTAGAATCTAAAAAATTTGGTTCTTAGTCTCCATATAACGATTCCCTTGCTTCCTGTAGCTAGTGACGGGCCTTGGTTCTTATCCAGGAGTTAGGTTCTCAATCACAAGACCATGAGCAGACCATGGCAGAGGTCCCTAGTTACATCTGACTTCAACATCCTCTGCCACCATTGCCACTATGTGCCAACTCACACTGCTGAGACCTGTTCAGGGTTCAAATTCTGAAACCCAGAGTCTGGTGTGCTTATAAATGGCTCTCTGGCCAGGGCACTCCAAGGAACCATGTGGCATTCCTGCAACAGGCCCTCTTCCTTGCAACCTCTCAGGGCAGGGGTCAGTGCAGATGTGGGCCTGGGGCCCTCACAGTGAAAGATGAATTCACAGGTGGATTTGGGATGAATCCATGGAGTCATCTTTTACGCTATTGGTTCCTTCTGCCTAGGAAGCCTTCTCCCATGTTTTCATCCAGTTAATTCGACTTACCTTTGAAGCCTTGGCTGAATGTGACTACCTTCACGAAGCCTTCCCAAAGGCCAGGCAGAATGAAACCTCCCTCCACTATGTTCCTTATCAATTACATTTCCCAGTAGATACCACAACTTCACATGACAATCCCTTCTGGTGGCACAAAAGTTTCTCAGGGGTTAGAGATAATTTTTTATTTTTTGGTGAATCCTTAGTGTCTCGTTCAATGTCTACCATTTAGAAGGTGTTCAACAATATGTCTATTACATGAATCGGGTCAAGAAAGAATCGGGAATGATAATGGGCCTTGCTCTTACTGCCATAGGAGCATGGTCCAGGGTTCCTGAGGAACCTTGTAAGACCTGAGTTCAGAAATGCATTCATATGGACTGCATATCACATCCCTCTTGCCTGGAAAAAAACCGGGACTCCCATCACCCAGCCTCAGGGTGAGGAACTGGACCAGCCCATCTGATACCAATTTAATGATTGCTGTTGATAAAAATAGCACTATGAAGAATGTCTGAATGGTGAGGCACACAGAGACATCCAGCCCTTTCCCATCAGAAGCAAATGGGCACAGCTCAGTGCTGTCTCCACATGTGCCCTGTGCACTCCAGAGTTGAGTGGGCCTGGGAATGGGTTTGCAGGAGACTCAGAAAGATGACCCAAATGCATGAGAGACATAAAACAAGGGACACTTTTGAGCCAGCAGAGCTCACCAGGAGACAAGGGATTCATTCCACACACACCCTGCCCCCCTCTATGCCTGATCCCAACAATGTATGCCTTTTACTGCATAAAAAAAATAACAATAGAGGGAACAGGGGATGAGCCTCTCTGGAGTAGAGATGGAGAAGACAGAAGTCCTGCAGAGACCACACTGCAGCCAGTCTGTGGCATCCCCAAATTGCCTCCCACAAAGGAGGAGAAGAGAAGGCTTCTACCAACCAGTAGTACTAAGGGTGGGTAGTCGGGTGGAAGATTGCTCAAAAAGCTGCCATGAAGGAGAAGCGCTCATGGACTTTTCTATCCCAGGTTCTGCTTTCTTTGTGGGGTTGACAGTCCAAATTGACAGCTGGATGGAAAGAGCCATGCTGGGGTGTCCTGGCACACTTGGCAGCATGTCCTAGAAGAATTTACAGTCAACTGAAAACCTCACCTGGTCTTCCCTGAGGTATGGGAGCAGAAAGAACATGCACGGAGGAGATAAGCCGAAGAAGGTTGTCTGAGATCATTCTCTGGAAAGTCTTAAAGGTCATGCTAAGAAATTTGGGGCCAGCACCATTATACAATATACACAAATCACCCATTTTCAAATACTTAACATTCAATAAAGTACACATTATGGGGAAGTTATACTGGAAGCATTTATATTTTGGTGATTTAGAAGGCACTTAGGGATCCTGCAGGGCCATGGGCTTATCATTAGGAACAGGACATTAGTTCTTCTCCTGCTATAATGGAGAAAGTATGCTGGAATTGGAGCTCTTTGATTGTGGTGCCCTCAGATAAACGGACACTGGAATTATGGCTATGATCCTGGCAGCTGGCTTCCTAAGTATTTGCTTAGAGAGGTCAAGGCCAGATGGCTGGTGATGCCCATAACCTGAAGGCAAAGAGACAAAGCAAGGCCCAGATGCCTACAGAGACCTCATGGGCTGCCGTATGGAGGGTGAGGCTGAGGGTCCACAGAGGGGATGTGTGGAAAGGACTCCGTAGGCAGCTGTAGTGTGTGACCCCAGTCCCCACCTCAGTCCTCTCTTGTCCATCCCCATTCTGCTTGTTCAGAGCTCACGTCCAGTCCTTTTTGGACTATCCTTTTGACCCTGATTTGGAGTCACCCACAAAGTTAATGAACATCTTTCTATTTATCAAAGAGACATCATCATTTCCTTTTCTATCCAAAGATTTGGAACACAAATTCTTTCTCATATGGCAAGCTCACTCTGTGTGTGTGAGAAAGAGAAAGAGCAAATGGAGCAATAAGAGTGATTGCAAGCTCATGCTGCCAATGAAATAATCATTCATTTATTTATTTTCTCAAGTATATATCTTAAGCACTATGCTTGGTATTTGACAGATACAAAAACGAACAAGAAGATTAGAGCCCTTAATGAGTTCAAAGCCTAGCAAGAGCGAAAAAAATTTTTGAAAAAAAAAATTGCTCAAACATTTTGTTGACAACAAATAACATGTCTAGCACTGGGAAACAGAGGAGAGAGGAAAAAAAGGAAGAACAGAGGATGGGAAGGAGGGAGGGAAGGAGGGTCAACTTTGTCAGGAAAAGTGGGACAAGGCTTCAAGGGACGTGTGAACTTCATCTGGAAGGATTCTGAAGGATGAAACAGCATATTCCAGAAGAAGAGGAAGGAGATCCTGGGTGGAGGGGACAGAGGTAAACTGTGGATTAAATGGACAACTTGATTAAAATGGTTGGTTCTGCTACCCAATAGAAATAACCTTTGAATGATTAAAAAAATGAATTTCTTACATACTGTCTTAGTTATCTAGTGCTGCTATAACAGAAATACAAGCAGATGGTCTTGCAAAAAGAAATTTATTCTCTCACAGTCTAGGAAAGTAGCAGTCCGAATTCAGGGTGCCAGCTCCAGGGGAAGGCTTTCTCTCTGTGTCAGCTCTGGGGGAAGGTGCTTGTCATCAGTCTTCCCCAGGTGAGGAGCTTCTTAGTGCAGGGAACCCAGGTCCAAAGGATGTGTTATTCTCCTGGCTCTTGTTTCTTGGTGATATGAGGTCCTCCATCTCTCTGCTCACTTCTCTTTTTTATATCTCAAAAGAGATTGACTTTAGACACAACCTAATCTTGTAGATTCAGTCCCGCCTCATTAACGTAACTGCCTCTAATCCCACCTCATTAACATCATAGAGGTAGGATTTACAACACATAGGAAAATCACATCAAATGACAAAATGGTGGACAATCAGACAATACAGGGAATCATGGCCTAGCTAAGCTGACTCACATTTTTGGGGGACACAATTCAATCCACAGCACATAGTATATGCTAAACACTGTACCAAGAGCTTTCTCATATATTATTTCAAATAAATTCCTCCATGATCCCTGTTAGTAATTTCATTTTATAAATGAGGAAACTGAGGCTCAGTTAAAGAAATAGTTATAAAGGGGTGGAAATTGCCCAGCTTTTAGAGGAAGTAATGTCATGGTCTTAGATCAGTTTTTCCAGAGAAAGTATGTCTGATGGAGCAGGGCAGGTGTTTGGGCTCAAAACAACCTGGAAGCAGTAGATTTATTCATGAGGTTGTACTGGTTTTCGTTCTTAACATGTCAAATGCTTTGACTTTTTTATAGTATCACAGAAGAAAACGGAATCATGAATTTTACTATTTGCATAGTTTACTTCATGTGTTAACGTGTCCTATTATCATTTCTAGAATTTTTAAACTCTAGGGATATTTGTCAGTTTTGTTCACTGCAGTATTTCTAGCATCTGGCACATAGGAGGAGCTCAATCAAATGTCCTTAGAATGAATGAATGTTTAGATGCTTGATGGTTTTCCTTTTGATACGTAGCACATTGTGGCACTATGTAGGATGTGGGCATGCATCCTTTGCTTTCCCTCCTTTCACCATCATGCTACTGGGCAGGTGAATCGCCTGTAGTGTATAATTTTAGAAATTCAACACCATCTTCTTCCTGCTACCTATCACTATGCTTAACGCCACATCAATTAGAGATGAATTCCAACTCCAAATGTATTTTTTAAAAATGCAAATACTCTTGTATTGATGGCACCACTATTTTAGGGCTAGCCAAAAAAAAAAAAAAAAAAATTCTATGATTTGTTGACAATTAACTAACAGGTCCTGCAAAGATGAAACATAAGATGGCATCTCAGGCTGGTGCCAGAATCACTGGGGGGCTGAGCTTGAAAAGGAAGGCATGATGGTATCAGAGATAAATTTGGCTTTCTTCCAACTTTGTTCAGTCTGTTAGACTCAGCTATTCATCAAGGTTTAGGACCTTAGACGTTCTGACTTGCTATGCTCATTTCCATTACTTAGTTGTTTCCTTTTAGCTAATTTCAATCACAGGTACCAGT